TTTATTATTATTATTATTATTATTATTATTATTAATTTTTATTATTATTATTATTATTATTATTATTATTACACAATTGTATCACAACGGCCAGTTGTTTCGCCGGATTTGGCATTAATTACTAGTGGAGCCTCACCCAGGGGCCTAGGACGTCATAACGTATTTTTGTAATATGCGTGCAGATCCAAGCAGTGCGGCTTTTTGCATTTGACTGATGGTGATTTTGTCAATTTTTATTATTGTATTATTATTATTATTATTATTATTATTATTATTATTACACAATTGTATCACAACGGCCAGTTGTTTCGCCGGATTTGGCATTAATTACTAGTGGAGCCTCACCCAGGGGGCTAGGACGTCATAACGTATTTTTGTAATATGCGTGCAGATCCAAGCAGTGCGGCTTTTTGCATTTGATTGATGGTGATTTTGTCAATTTTTATTATTTATTATTATTATTTATTATTATTATTATTATTTATTATTATTAATTATTATTATTAATTATTATTAATTATCATCATTGGGGTTTTTTAAGTGCTTCACTGCAGTTTTTCTCAGAGTCTACGAGAGCATCTATCAACATGTTTCTAGTCCTTTTAGCAGAGATGATAGAAGGAACAGGTAGCAGAGGGAAGTGGCCAACCCGAAAAGACCAATCAACCCCCTGCCCACCATGGAGTGGGAAAAGATATGGAGGAAAGGAAAGAGGGTCGGAGTCACAAAATTACTTACTGGGAGTAGGTGGTGGTCTCCGAGATTGATTCATAGACTTGTAAAAATCTTCCGGGTTTCCCAAAGAAATTAAGCAACAAAGTTTTTTTTTCTTTTCCTTTTTTTGTAAAAAAAAAAAAAGGCAAACCAACCAACCAACCACTGGGAAGAAAAAAAATAATAAAGAAATCTGGAAAAAAAAAGGAGGGAGGCTTAAGGGAAAGGAGGAAGTGGTGACGAAGGAAGAGAATGCTCCATCTTCAGTCTTCCTTGATGAGTTTTCATTGGCGTTCAAAGATCATAGAGTTCTCCCTCCCCAATACCTTCCGCCCCACCATTTTTTTAAAAAAAAAGAAGAAGAAGAAGCAAAAATGAATGTCCCCTTCCCTCTGGCTGTCCTTGGTTTCTGTCCGTTGCCTTCTGGAGTGTTTCTCGTCTGCATGCTGCGGGTGGATGGGTGGGTGGGTAGTGAGAGGCATGGCGGCCTCCAGTCGGCCACTTGACTTGGGCATCATCTGCAAGGTTTTCCGATTGTCTTTTTGCTGGGCTGTAGAGGTTGAGAGAGCTCCCGAAAGTCTGCTTCAAAAAATGACCCCCTGCTTCCCGGTGCCGTAATCAAAGAAAGCAAGTTGATTGATTTTTCCCCCCATCATATTTTCTTTTTCCCCCACTTTCCGTCTTTGTTATTAAAGAAAGGGATATGGGGGGAGGGTGTTCGCCTCTGTCTCCTTTCCCCTCCTTCTTTTCTTTCTTTTTCTCTTTTCTTTTTTTGTGTGTTTTGTTTTGTTTTCTTAGAAAAAAAAAAAACAAATGAACCAACCGAGAAATGAGCGAACAAACAAAAAGGAGGTGGTTTTTTTTGTGTCATACGTGTGTGCATGTGAGTGTGTGCGTGTGTGGTGGTGGGGGTTTTGTTTTGTTTTTGACTTCCATTAAATACAGAACTTGAAAAGTGTTCCAGAGAAAAGTGCTGCTAAAGTAGCTCTGAAAGAGATGGAAAGAGAGAGAGAGCGAAAGAGAGAGAAGGGAGGGGGGGGGGAAACAGAAAGAAACATTGATCAAAACACAGCCCACTCTTGGCAGGGCTCAAGTATTCATTTTGGTGCATGGAACCCAAGAGAGTCATTGTCTTTTTGTCCAACAAATCTTTTCTTTGCAATCTACCATTTAGAGACCGGGTAAAAAGCACCTACTAAATATTTCCACGCTTATTTAGGCTGTCCTTTTTTTTTTAAGGATAGAAGATGGCTGGTTGGCCCAGGGGTAAAATGTGAGCGTGCACATGTGCAAGGTCGCTCCACTCGCACGGCCCAGCTCCGCACATGCACAGGACCTTCCGCGCATGCGCATAGCGTCAAATATGGACGTGATGACGTCAGGGCCGTTGGGCGGAACCTGTTTCTGTGCATGCCTGCAAAGGTAAGTAGAGCGGGGGGGGGGGGAAATCCGCTGTGCCACGCGATTTAGATTAGCTAGAAAGCAGTTAATCCTGCTTTCTAGCTAATATAAATCGCATGTCACAGCTGATCATCAGAAATACCAGTTCACCTGTACCGGTAGCTTTTGTTTTGCTACTGGTTCGGTCGAACCGGTCTGAACCAGTTGCATTTCACCCCTGAAGCCGCCGAAGTGAAGGGCAGCCAGCATAATGTGGAATGTGGAATTATAATACTATAATAATATAAAATTATTATTCCCATCGTAAACAATATTCATGGGCAGAAAAGAACTGAGGCCTGTCCACGGGGATGATCGGTTTCAGATTATACTTTTTGTTATTTAAAGATACACAAAGACCTAAACTAGGATACACCTGAGGGGATGGTACAGATAATCCTCATCTGCTATTTGTTTAGTGACTGTTCAAAGTTACAAATGGTCCTTAAAAAATGTGACAACCAGTCTCACGACCAGTGTGGTGTGTCCATGGGCACCTGATCAAAATTTTGCTGCTTGGCAACCAGATTGTGTTGACAATGGTTGCAGCTTCTATTGAAGGGGGAAAAAATCAAATTTTGTCACATGCTTGTTAAAATTATTTTAAAAATTTAAAACCAGGGAAAGGGGGGGGGGGTTAAACTTTTCTTTTCATTTTCTTTTTCTTTCTTAAAGAAAATGGACAATTTATTATAGTCTTAATCATCTAAGTTTTGAATGTGAGGATTCTTTCTCTACTTGGAAGAAGTCAGATGTCATTCTTTGTATACATTTGTGTTTCCTTTCTTTTTCTTTCTACCATTTCAATTTTCCCTTTTTAAACTTTACTCTCTAGATTGTTAAGTTAATGTGGTTTTGTTATGCATATCCTCTGTAAAAGTCTAATAAAATTATTTGACAAACAATGAACGTTGCTTCCCGGGGCCATGTGATGGTCATTGGCAATCTACCAGCTTCCAACAAGCAAAGTCAGTGTAGGAATAGGTTTACTTAATGATTCATTTAACAACGACAGTGATTTGCATAACAATCTGGGCAAAAAAGGATGTAAAATTGGGTCCCACTCATGTAACAATCACCTTGCTTAGCAACAGGAATTGTGGTGCCATTGTGGCTGTAAGTGGAGGACTACCTGTACAGCTATCTCTGGGTCTCCAATCTTGGCAACTTTAAGCCTGGTAAATTTTAACTCCCAGAATTCCCCAGCCAGATTTGCTTTGCTGGCTGGGGAATTCTGGGTGTTGAAGTCTGCCAGGCTTAAAGTTGCCAAGTTTGGAGACCCCAACTCTAGGCAGTTCCATTTAAGACTGTAAAAAGGGCATTATCTTTTCTTCCGTATATCCTCTCCCAATTAAATAACAAAAAGGAAAATTAAAAAGGCAAAGGGGGACCCTTGGATCAGATCTTATCATGTTCTTTAAAAACACATGAAGAACGGTTGCAGGAATTGGGTAAGAGCTGCAGTGGCACAGTGGTTAGAGTGCAGTATTACAGGCTACTTCTGCTGACTGCCGGCTGCCTGCAATTTGGCAGTTCGAATCTCACCAGGCTCAAGGTTGATTCAGCCTTCCATCCTTCCGAGGTGGGTAAAATTAGGACCCAGATTGTTGGGGGCAAGAGGCTGCTCTGTAAACTGCTTAGAGGAGGCTGTAGAAAGCACTATGAAGTGGTATATAAGTCTTAAGTGCTATTGGAAGTCTAGAGAAAAGAAGGACTAGCTAGGGGTGACATGATAGAATTATTCCAGTATTTGATGGGCTGCCACAAAGAAGAAGGAGTCAACTTATTTTCCAAAACACCAGAAGGCAAGACAAGAAACAATGGGTGGAAACTAATCAAGGAGAGAACCAATCTGGAATTAAGGAGAAACTTCCTAATAGTGAGAACAATTAACCAGTGGAAATTTAGAAATTGTAGATGGTTCATTACTGGAGGTTTTTAAGAAAAGACTGGACAGCTACCTGTCTAAAATGGTATGGGGCCTCCTGCTTGAGCAGGGGGTCGGATTAGAAGACCTCCAAGGTCCCTTCCAGCTCTATTCTGATTGTTTTAATTCTGCAGTGTTAGGGAACTATCACCACATCTATGAATTGTGCTCATCACCAAATCAGTCTTTAAGGTCCCTTTTCGAAAGGCAACTGGACTTGGTTTTTTCCTTGAAGATGTTTTGCTTCTCATGCAAGAAGGTTCTTCAGTTTGTCTTCAAGGAAAAAAACAAAAGTCCAGCTGTCTTTTGAAAAAAGACTGTTGGGACAACCATCACCTGGATGATTGAGGATCTCCACAGACATCAGTTTATGACAATGGCTCCCAACCTTTTTTTGGCCATGCCCCACCTAAGCATCTCTAAAATCCTTCCCCCCCCGCCCCCCCCCCGTGACATATAATTCTTACTGTACTCAAAAAGTGAACTCTACTCATGCAGAGAAAGCCTAAAAGACCATTAACTTGGTCTAAACAAGGTGCAAATTGCCCCCATTAAAAATCAAATCCACACACCCCCCGTGGGGCCTGGGCCCCACGTTAAGAACCACTGGTCTATAATGAATGCTTCAGGGCAGAGGTGGCATCACATAATGTAACAACCAGTTTGCCCAGCAATGAAAATGTGAGCGTGCGCACCTTCTGCGCATGTGCATGGCTTCAAAAACACGGCAATCTAGAATCGAATAGCACTGGGGCAGGTGGGCACCCACCCGCTGGTTGGAACTACCGGTTCACCCAAACCAGTCCGAACCGGTGGGAGCCTACCTCTGCTTCAGAGTCTTATTTGCTGGTTTGCCTAGCTGTACTCCTTTCCCGCGGCCTCGACTGACACAAATTGCTGGATTAATGTTTATCAGTTTCCTGATTCTAATTCCTGGGACCAGAAAGTTGTGACCTTCAAAGTGAGGAATAGCCTGAGGTCTAAGAGGATGCAACTGTTTGTCTCTTGCTTGAATAGGGATGTGTACATTTCAGTTTAATATCCCCCTTTTCTATACATCGGCTACTAACAGCCTCTCCCTGGCTAATCGGGACAAACTACCATGTTTCCCCGTGTTTCTTTTGCCCCACGAAATATGGCCTCGGGCTTATTATAGGGGGAGGTCTTATTGTTTTGAGGTTGCAGGGCAGTTGCTCCCTTGCGAACTGGCTCCCGAAGAGCCGGGCACAGCCTCAGGGGCGAAGCAGCCATGAGGTGACCACACTCATGAGCAGCCGCCCGGCAAACCCCCTCTCCAGCTGGGCAAAATGCCATTCACTGACCTAGGGGGTATCCCTAAGGCGCTAAGGCACGTGGAGCTCTGCCCTCTCCCCAGCTCCTGCGGCTTGGCACATTCGGGATACCCCCTAGGTCAGTGCATGGAGCTGTGCCCGGCTGGAGAAGGGGGTGGCGCGAGCACCTGTTCTGCCCCAGCAAGCATGCCTCCCAGCCTCACCATGCCCTGGCCCAGCTGCCACAGCCGCACTCTGAGCATAACTTCTTCTCTGGCTTCCAAACTCCAAAACTCGGCTGCCGAGTCTTCCAGCAGTGGCCACTCTAGGAGTGTGTTCTATGGTTGTGGGACGGCTGCCAGACAGAGAGCCTTCCAGAAAAAGAATCTTCCGGACAGAGAGGCTTGGCGCCTTCGGGATATGCCTAGGTTGGTGAGTGGTGCTCTGCCTGGCCGGAAGGGGGATTGTCCAAGGGGCTTATTTTCAGAGGTGGGCTTATATTTTTGCCCATGCGAAAAATGTGGCAAGGCGTTAGTTTCAGGACAGGTCGTATTTTTGGGGAAACACGATAGGAAACAGAATTGTTCGCGGAACTCACAAGGCCTGTTTGAAGGAGAAATCCTTGATCTGAGGACAGAAAGAGTGAAAGATAAGTACAACTCCCAAGGGAAGCTATTCCGGAGCTTGGGAGTGACAGACACCTCATGAGATTTGGAAGTGAAACCTTTTGTCTCTCACTCTGCGTGTTTGGAATGTCAAAGAGGTGCATAGCCTGCTGCTTCAGAGCTCCTGAACTACCCCGTTTTCCCCAAAATAAGACCTTCCCGGATAATAAGCCCAATTGGGCTTTTGAGCACATGCACTAAAATAAGGCGTCCCCTAAAATATTAAAATGCATGCACAGCCGGTCCCTGCCCTTTCCTGGGGGGGAGAGGGGAGAACATGCCCCACACACCCCACATACATCTGCCATCCACGCGGAACAGCCTTGGGGAGGTGCTCCCACAAACCCTAGCTACCGCGACCCTTCTCTTAGTGGCAGCTGCAAAAAGAACAGCAGGCCTAGCGACGCAAGAGTGTGCCAGAGATGGAACTTTCGGCCCTCTTTGAATCAGCTGATCCACGGGCCAAGGTTAAGGGGTCTCCTGCACCTCAAAAATAATAAGACCTCCCCCAAAATAAGACCAAGCGCTTATTTCGGAGAATCAAAAGAGAATAAGACCATGTCTTATTTTTGGGGAAACACAGTAGAGCCTCTGGGATAATCTGTCCCCCACTAAATATTATTTACTTATTTTTCTTTGAGCTTTCAACGCCTAGCCTGCCTTTCTGCATATTACCCTTTAGGT